TTGATAGCTATTTGAAGCCGGTCCTCTCTTAAGGCTTTTAAAAGCTCTTTTATGACGATTTCAAAGGCGCGTCGCATAAGGACGTAGTAGCGTTCCATTAGCTCGACGCTATAATAAGCTTTTACAAGCATCTGCTTTGAAGTGCTGCTAATACTCTTAAAGTAGCTTCGGAACGTTGCTGAATTGAAGTTGGTTTCGAGATCGTGCACTACGTTTGTAAAAGATCCGACGTAAGTATTGACTTAACATCGACTGAATCTTTTAAGTAAATGCTATGCGGATATGCTTTTAAAGAAGGTGACGGCTTGAAAATTAATAGAGTCACAGACGACGTGCAATACGTTCTTACCGTTAAAGTGCATTACGTTTACGTATACCGTGTTATTAAAATCAATATTATTTTTAAGTCTGATACTAAACCTCTTCGAAGAGCGTTCGAATACTTAGCAATAATAGCAAAACTTTTAGATGTTGTAAAGCAAATCTCGTCTGAATTCGTGCTCGGCTCTCTTAAGAATAGCAGCAAATCGACTTGCTAAAGGGTGGCCAAAACGCTTGTGGATAGTCTTTAATTGCTCTTCCGTAAAGTAGCAATAAACGGTCTCGCTCTCGGTGTTGTAATAAGTAGCAGCGTGCTCTTTACTTAATAGCATCTACACGTGCTTAAACATTCTTACTATTAGTATTTCCTTTTTCTTTTAAATTAGCACGTTTCGTAAGTTATTTAAGATCACTTTGTGCTTGTTTATGTTAGCTAACGAGAATAAGAAAAGTACGTCGCTCTTTATAACGTAGAACTCTACTTGACTTAAAAGGGTATCTAAGGTGATTGCTTTAATAAAGGTGGCAAAGCCGATATTATATTTGACGGACTTCTCTTTTGCTCGAGATGTATTTAATTAGACTTCGAAGTACTTTTTTTAAAGTGCTCGTAGCTAAAGCAAGCTAGCGGTAAAGAAATTAACTGCTCCGCTATCAATCATAAGGCTTATAAACACGTTTTTAAAGTACTTAAAGGCTATGTAAGTCTTTGCTTTGCTCGCGGGCACGTTTTAAGTCTCGATTTAGCTAGTAAAGGCGTAGAATGCCGTTTGAATCTCTAGCTGTTTATATACTTCGTTAGCGTTAAAAGTGCCGTAAGTAATCACAAAACCTTCCGATATGTTAGCGTAGCTGCTCGATTCGGACGGCTCGTCTAGTAAGCTTGCGATGAACTGATCGAATTCTTTCGTAGATACAAGTAGCAAACCTTCAATCGATGCTACGTATTAAGAGAATTTGCTTTTCGTCACTTTTTTTGCGTCTTTAAAAGCTTGGAACTTAGCGACGGATGCTTTTCTTTCGTCGGAGGTATAGTTAGTACTCTAGCAGCTTAGCTTTTTGCAAACAAAACACTTTTTCTCACTTTTAATAGCCTTGGCAGCTTTCTTACTTCCGAAGTATTAGCGGTCCTGAATAAAGCATTCGTATTCTTTATCCAAATCGGAGTCAGCTTTTAAGGCGTGCTAAGAGCAAGTGTGATCGTGTGGTTCGCTAGAGCTCGCGTAAGCTCTAGCCTTGGCCGGAGGTCGAGAGGTCTCAGTTGCAAAGGCAATTGCTCGACGAATGTTAGCAACTGCCGCGGTAAAAGTAAAAGCAAGATTTATTCGTGCAATCGTAGTTTTTAGCACGTTTTTACAAGCTGAATACAGCTTGTTAGCAAGACTTCGATCGTCCCTCAGACTTGGTCGTAAAGAGCCTTGAATGCCTTTAAGCTTTTTAGCGAGCTTCTTAAAGCACTCGCTAAGCGAAGTCCTTAGATTCTCTTTCTTGACCAAATCTAGCGAAATTTCCTCTTAACGGTCGTATTTTACTTGCCGCCGGTAGTCAGTTTCGAAGTAGTCCTTTACCGCAATAGCGTTTGCTTTGAATATCGGAAGCTTAGCTTTGATAACGTGATTGTAGTAAAATGTAATAGCTTTTTTCGTAAGCATAATAAAGAACGCCGCTAAGTAGTCGTCGGAGGTCAAACCGTATCGACTTGCTTAATCAGCAAAAATCCTTAATTAAGTTCTAAAGTCATCGTCGAGTCCCGAATACTTTAGCTCTTTAAGAAAGCTTTTTGCAAACAAAGCTAACTCTTTTGCTTTTAAGTGAAGGTCCGTTGCTTTAAGCTTAAGGAAGTCGTCTTTATCATCGTTAAAAGCGCTTAGAGTGCCGTACGCAAGCGTGCCGTGCTTAGCTAATGGTCGGATCGGTAAAGGGTTACCGATATAGTTGCCGGTGGTCCGTCTTCTTCCAAGGTCCTTAAGAAGCTCATTTCCGGATCCGAGGTCTTTTAAAGGTCCGTTTCCGAATCCCTTTAATAGTTTAAAAGGCCCGTTCCTACCCCTTTCGTATCCGTAGCCTCGATCTCTTTGCTAATCTCCCCCGTTTCCTTCTCGTCGGTCATCGTTAGGATCGCTAAAGCTATTTAAGTCACCAGCCGGGGCTCTAGCTTAGTGATATCCGTACTCTTAAGCGCGTTCTTAGCGATTTTCATACCCTTAGTATCCCTCTTATCGATACGTAACTTATTAAAAGATCTAAAGAGCTTGTCGGTACGTCCGAGGATGCTAGATCCTTCTTTCGGGTTGCTGAAGCTAGGCACGGAAATCTGCACGCTATCCTTAGTAAGAGCTGATTTTGCTCGGAATGCTCTCAAGTTTTGGTGGGTCCTCTTTTAGCGTGTAGCTCTCGTAGCCTCGAGTGTTGTCTAGTCCGATAATGATCTCAAGGCCTTTGTTGTTATTGCTATTAAGCTTAGGCTTTTTAGAAAACTGAGTGTAGCTCTTAAGAAAAAGGTTTGAAAGCCGCTGAAGTGATTTTGACTCTTCTTGTATGATTAGCGTATTGCGTAGCGATTAATAAGATTGATAAATCGAAGACGTCGAGTACGCTAAAGTGCTTCGTCGTAGCCTTTCGTTTGATTATATAGCGTAAGTCCGTAATTCCGCCATTTCCTTTGCTATAGCTTCTATATTTCGTTCTATATCTCTCCTCTCTTTTAAAAACTCCTCTCGTAACCTTTAGATTTCCTCTCTGTCGGTATATCCATATCGACCTTAGCTAGCTAGTAGTAGTAGTTGGGGAAGCTTACCCATGAACCATGGTTCACGGGCCACTTGGCATGCCTCGCTTAGCATGTCAGCAGTCAAGGGACCCCCAACTTGACAAGTAAGCCTATTAGTTAGCTAGTGCACGTGATTCCTTCTAATCATATAGAAGGAATCAGCTCCCTTAAGCATTGGGGAGTAGACAGAATTCAGATACCTTATCAACCGAGTGTTTTGCAATTGCAAGTACTTTGACGACCGTTACGACCTTACGAATATATATTCCTAATCGCTTAAAAGCAATCTAACACTGATCAGTGATTGAATTACTATTAAGTGATCAATTATAGAGAAGCTAGGACTCTATAGCGAAGATACCTTTTACTACGATACCTCTCTCCTTTTACAACGGAAGAGCGATTCCGTACTAAGTCGCTTTCTTACACCTCGATACCTTTACCTTACAACGGAAGAGCGATTCCGTACCAAGTCGCTTCTTATACTACCGATTTTCCCCCATTCCTACGGAAGAGTGATTTCGAACCAAGTCACTTTTATACAACCTTCAAAGCTGTAGAGCCGCGCTTGTTATATACAGCAAACCTAACCAACACGATCGATCTACGTACGAGCAGATAACAACTATGGCCGATCGAGCAACTAGACTTTTAAGTGAAGAGTCCAGCCGACAAGGAGCAGTAAGGTATTATACCCTTCGAGTCTCATCACTACCTACGGAACCCTTAGCTATTCAGCTAAAAGGACCACTATACTCAAGACTCTTAAGCCTCTCGGAAGGACCAGACGACGAGATGTCGAGCATCTCATTTGACTTAAACGAGCTACTATACGCAAGGCTAGACAATGAGATTACGGCCCGAGCGATAGTGAACGACTTCTTAGATGCGAAGTATAAAAGGCTGAGGGATTACGACTTGTGGAGCTTATTCCGGTACGCTTTCTTACGCTAAGATTAGACCAGTTTTACAATGACGAGGGACAATACGGGACGAGGCCTTAAGTTTGCTACCCTTATTAGCTTTAAGGAACACTTGCTGTCTAAAGGCGTGTAGTGCCCCTTAAAGTAAAAGGGTTACGCTAATAGGATGGTCAAGCTTTTGAACGACGAGCAGCAATACTAATGGACTTTCCAAGAAATAAAAAAGCAATAAGCAACACTTTTAAGCCTCGATTCAAAGTGGACCGAAAACCTTACGGACGACGAGGATAATACGCTTTAACTACCTCTACCACCCTTACGAAGTCTAAAAAGGAAGGAGAAGGAAGAGGGGGAAGAGATTCGGAGGTTACGCGAAGAGTTTGCGAAAGAGAGGAAGGATATAAAGCAAAATATAAAAGTGATAGCAAAGCAAATAGCGGAATTACGGACTTACGCTATACAATCTAATGAAAAGCTACGACGAAGCACTTTAGCGTACTCGACGCCTTTAATTTATCAATCGCTACGCAATACGCTAATTATACAAAAGCCAAAATCATCTTAGCGGCTTTTAAACCCCTTTTTCAAAGGCTATACCTAGTTTTCTAAAAAGCTTAAACCGAGTAGCAATAAAAATAGTCTTAAGATCATCATCGGACTAAACAATACTCGAGGCTACGAGAGCTACACGCTAAAAGAGGACCCGCCAAAACCTAAGAGCATTCCGGACAAAATCAGCTCTCGCTAAAGATAGCGTGCAGATTTCCGTGCTTAACTTAAGCAACCCGAAAAGGGAATTCAGCAACTCGAAGGGGGGATCTAGCACCTTCAGACGTACCGACAAGCTCCTTAAATCCCTTAATAGGCCACGTATCGATAAGAGGGATACTAAAGGTATGAAAATCGCTAAGAACGCGCCTAAGGGTACGGATATCACTAAGCTGGAGCCTCGGCTGGTGACTCAAATGACCCTAGCGATCTTAACGATGACCGACGAAAGGGAAACGAAGGAGATTAGCAAGGAGATCGAGGCTACGGATACGGAAGAGGTAAGAACGGGCCTCTTGGACTACCAAGGGGATTCGGAAACGGACCCTTAAAGGACCCCGGATTCGGAAATGAGCTTCTTAAGGACCCTGGAAGAGGACGGACCACCGGCAATTATATCGGTAACCCTTTACCGATCAGACCATTAGCTAGGCATAATACGCTTGCGTACGGTACTCCAGGCGCCCTTGACGATAATAGTGACGATTTCCTTGAGCTAAGAGCAACTGACCCTCACCTAAAAGCAAAGGAGTTGGCCTTGTTTGCAAGAAGCTTTCTTAAGGAACTAAAGTATTCGAGACCCGACGATAACTTCAAGACTCAATTAAGTATTTTCGCTGACTAAGCAAGTCGGTACGGCCTGATATCCGACGACTATTTAATAGCGTTCTTAATTATGCTTACGAGAGAGGCTATAACTTTTTATTACAATCATATGATAAAGGCTAGGCTTTCGACGTTTAAAGTAAACGCTATTGCTATAAAAGACTACTTCGAGACTGATCACCGGCGGCAAGCAAAATACGACCGCTAAAAAGAAATTTCGTTAGATTTGGTTAAGAAAGAGAATCCAGGGACCTCGCTTAGCGAATGCTTTAAGAAGCTCGCTAAGGAGCTTAAAGGCATTTAAGGCTCTTTACGACCAGGTTTAAAGGACGATCGAAGTTTTGCTGATAAGCTGTATTCAGCTTGTAAAAATGTGCTAGAGATTACGATTGCACGAATGAACTTTGCGTTTACCTTTACCGCCGTAGTTGCCGACATCCGCCGAGCAATTGCATTTGCAACTAAGTCCTCTCGACCCGCTAAAGCTAGAGCTTACGCGAGCTCTAGCGAGCCACACGACTACACCTGCTTTTAGTACAATACCTTAGAGGCTGACTCCGATTTGGACGAAGAATACGAATGCTTTATTTAAGACCGCTAATACTTCGGAGGTAAAAAAGCTGTTAAGGTTATTAAAGGTGAGAAAGGTGTTTTGTTTGCAAAAAGCTAAGTTGCTAGAGCACTAACTATACCCCCGACGAGAGAAAAGCATCTATTGCTAAGTTCTAAGCTTTTAAGGACGCAAAAAGAGTGACGAAAAGCAAATTCTTTTAATACGTAGCATCGATTAAAGGCTTGCTACTTGTATTTACGGAAGAATTCGATTAGTTTATCGCAGGCTTACTAGACGAGCCGCTCGAATCGAGCAGCTACGCTAATATATTAGAAGGTTTTGTGATTACTTACGGCACTTTTAACGCTGACGAGGTATACAAGCAACTAGAGATTCAGACGGCATTCTACGCCCTTATTAGCTAAATCGAGATCCAAAACGTGCTTACGAGTAAAGCAGAGACTTATATAGCCTTTAAGTACTTTGAAAACGTATTCATAAGCCTTATAATTGATAGCGGAGCAGCTAATTTCTTTACCGCTAGCTTGCTTTAGCTACGAGCACTTTAAAAGAGGTACTTCGAAGTCCAATTGGATATATCTCGAGCAAAGGAAAAGTTCGTTAAATACGGGATTGGCTCTGCTACTTTTATTAGAGCAGTTACTCTAGAAACGCCTTTAGGTCAGGTAAAGTTCTACGTTGTGAAGAGCGACGTACCTTTTTTATTCTCGTTGGCTGATATAAATAAGCATAAGGTGATCTTAGATAACTTGCGGAACGTGCTAGTCTAAAAGAAGAAGAAGATACTAGTAGTAAGGATGTTTAAGCACGTATAGATGCTATTAAGTAAAGAGCACGCTGCTACTTATTATAGCACCGAAGGCGAGACCGTTTATTATTACTTTACGGAAAAACAATTAAGGACCATCCATAAGCGTTTTAGCCACCTTTTAGCAAGTCGATTTGCTGCTGTTCTTAAGAGGGCCGAGCACGAATTCAAACGGGATTTGCTTTATAACATCTAAAAGTTTTGCTATTATTATTAAGTATTCGAACGCTCTCCGGAGAGGTTTAGTATTAAACTTAAAGATAATATTGACTTCAATGACACGGTATACGTCGATATGATGCACTTTAACGGCAAGAACGTATTGCACGTCGTTTGCGACTTTACTAATTTTCAAGCCGCCACTTTTTTTAAAAGCATATCCGCATAGCATTTACTTAAAGGATTTAATCGATATTGGGTTAATACTTACGTCGGACCTTTTACAAACGTAATGCACGATCCCGGAACCAACTTCAATTTAGTAACGTTCCGAAGCTACTTTAAAGGTATTAGCAGCACTTTAAAGCAGATGCTTATAGAAGCTTATTATAGCGTCGGGCTAATAGAACGCTATTACGTCCTTGTGCGACGCGCTTTTAAGATCGTTATAAAAGAGCTTTTAAAAGCCCCAAGAGAAGACCGGCTTTAAATGGCTATTAAAGCTATTAACGATACAGCTGGACTTAATAGCTTGGTTCTTATACTTTTCGTTTTTGAGACCTTATTAAAGCTGACGGAACAAGATCGACTTGCCGCGTTTACTTAAGAGCGTGCTGCTGCTATTAACAAGGCTATAAGAGAAGTACGAAAATGCTACGCTGTAAAGCAAGTTAAGGACGCGCTTAAAAAAAGGAATAGGCTAATTACAAAGCATACCCTAGACCTCTTTATTGGTTCACGGGTACTCGTATGGCGGGAAAACCAAAGGTAGAAGGGCCCTTTTTAGCTGCTTAGCAAGCAAGGGCACACGTGCACAGTGGCATGTCCGAGGCCTACGGAATTCAGGTCAACTTTAATAAAACCTTACTACTTTAAAGTTGAAAAGCTGCTAGAAGAGTTGTAAGTACCTAAGGTAAAGGTAGAAGAAGATTAAAGTGAAGGCGACGAAGGCGAAAAAGAGCTAGAACTACGAAATTCGCTTAAACTTTAATATTCGCTTAATCCATCGAAGTCGCTTAATCCAAGAAGCTCGTTAAGATTAGCAAACGACCCTCTTCAACTTATTAATTCCTAGAGATCAACAATACTAATAGTTTAGATACCTTACTAGAAGTACGATCTTAGTATCCCGACCGTGCTCGACGAAGAGGAGGGCGATTTTTACGTTTTATTTACTAAGGACTTCGAAGTGCTGGTTACCGACAAAGAACGCCGGGACTATAAGCTTTTAGCTAAGCTACGAGCCGAAGGAATCATTAAGAGCCTTAAGGCACTATTTCAAGAGTCTAGAGCAAAAGAATTAGCTAGATTGATAGCTTAAGGCATCCTTCAAGTGATCCCGGGCACCGATCTACGTGCTAAAGGCGCTAGGATCTTTGGATTTAAGTTTATTGACGAGATCAAAGGCAAAGGAACACTTACGCTATACGAAAAGTCTCGTATAATGGTTCAAGCCTTTTAAGACAAGGGCAAGACGAAGGTACTTATCGAGTCTCTTACAGTATAGCGAGCGGGCCAAAGACTTTATTGCGCTTTAGCTCCCTCTTTAATAAAGGACTACGGGTGCTAAGTCTATGGTAAGGATATTACATAAGCTTATACTTAGTCAAGCACGAAGCTCATACGAATAATCGTCGTGCGACCACTTAAAGAGATCACTTATCGATTCCCCTTCGGCACTTTGTTCTTTATGACTAGCCTTTTATACGGCATCCTCGAAGCAAGAACGCATTAGTATAAGCGTTTTTCAAAGCATTTTACGGACAACTTCGAGATAAGGCAATCGAGCTTTGATTCTTGCTTTTTTGTATCAACTAATAAAGATCAGTTAAGAATAGCTGCTTTATAAACGGACGATATTCTTATGGTTGTCAATCCAGCTATAAGAGTAAAAGAGGAGAAGGAGCTGGTCAAATCCAAGCTAAAGAGCAAGGAAATAGAGACTTTTACATACGCCGAACCGATGATTTTCAATAGATGCAAGCTATCTTTGGATAAAGACGAGTTCGAGCTGTTAGTTGGGCAAAAGAAGCAAGGTAAGAGGCTTGCCGTGATCAAGCTTGATTCAGCCACACGAGCTAAAGAGTACTTAAAGCAACGTGCTCGAGAGGCGTATTTAACTACTATTTACTACTTAAAAGCATCTTGCGCTTTATCGATGGCTGCCTAGCACCAAGAACCAAAGGACGAAAACTACAAGGCCCTTAATAAGGTGATCTAGTAGCTAATCGATCACCCAACTCGAGGGATCTATTACGTGCCCTTGGACTTAAAGACGGCGAAGCTCTTTGTGTTCGTGGATAAAGCGTTTGCTAACAACGCTAACCTTAGCTCTTAGATCGGTTTCGTAGCTATCCTTAGCAATAAGGCTCACGTAAGTGAGAACGAGTTCATTCTGACGGGTAACATCCTTTATTAAGTGTCATAGAAGTGCAAGAGAGTGATAAGGGCAGTATTAGCTTTTAAGCTATACGCTATGTCCTTAAGTATCGACATAACCATTGCTATGTCGACCACTTTTGCTCAAATCACAGCCTAGCTAAGAATCCTTAATTTCTTCGTAATGGTGTGCATTGACTCTTACTCGCTCTACGAGTGCATAGTAAAGCTAAGAACTACTAAAGAGAAGCGCCTTATAATCGATATTATAGCTATTCGAGAGTCATACGAGAGGCGGGAGCTCTTTAAGGTACGCTAGATCGGAGGCAAATCCAACCCTGCTAACGCCATGACCAAAATCGGGGCCAATTCCTCTTTGCAAGAGCTAGTTTTGACTAATACCTTAAAGGTGCAAGTGGACGGGTAGGTGGAAAGGCCGCTGTAAGAGAGAGAGGGATGAGATTGTTTTTCCTTTGTTTGATTACCTTCCTTTCTTTTTCGGTCGATATAGTAGTTAGCAAAGCATTGCTTGCTAAAGAGAGAATTGCCGGTGTCGGTATATCTATATCGACTTTAGCTAGCTAGTAGTAGTAGTTGGGGAAGCTTACTTATGAACCATGGTTCACGAGCCACTTGGCATGCCTCGCTTAGCATGTCAGCAGTCAAGGGACCCCCAACTTGACAAGTAAGCTTATTAGTTAGCTAGTGCACGTGATTCCTTTTAATCATATAGAAGGAATCAGCTCCCTTGAGCATTGAGGAGTAGACAGAATTCAGATACCTTATCAACCGAGTGTTTTGCAATTGCAAGTACTTTGACGACCGTTACGACCTTACGAATATATATTCCCAATCGCTTGGAAGCAATCCAACACTCTCCTCTTTCCTTCCTGCTTAAGGTCTTTTTTTCTTTCCTTTTTAAGCTTCTTAAAAGTAGTGGAAGTAGTTAAGGCGTATTATCCTTGTCGTCCGTAAGGTTTTCGGCGGTCTACTTTAAATCGAGGCTTAAAAGTGTTGCTTGTTGTTCTTTTATTTCCTAGAAAGTCTATTAGTATTGCTGCTCGTCGTTCAAGAGCTTGACCATCTTATTAGCGTAGCCCTTTTGCTTTAAAAGGCACTACACGCCTTTGGACAGCAAGTGTTCTTTAAAGCTAATAAAGGTAGCAAACTTAAAGCTTCGTCTTATATTGTCTTTCGTTATCGTAAAACTCGTTCAATCCTAGCGTAAGAAAGCGTGCCGGAATAAGCTTTATAAGTCGTAATCTTTCAGCCCTTTACACTTTGCATCTAAGAAGTCCTTTACTATTGCTCGAGCCGTAATCTCACTGTCGGGCCTTGCGTATAATAGCTCGTTTAAGTTAAATGAGATGCTCGATATCTCGTCGTCTGGTCTTTCCGAAAGGCTTAAGAGTCTTAGGTATAGTGTTTCTTTTGGCTGAATAGCTAAGGGTTCCGTGGGTAGTGATAAGACTCGAAAGGTATAATACCTTATTACTCTTTGTCGGCTAGACTCCTCACTTAAAGGTCTAGTTGCTCGATCGGCTATAATTGTTGTCTGTTTATGTATAAGTCGATCTAAATTTGATTAAGTTGTTATATATAGCAAGCGCGGCTTTTACAGCGTTGAAGTTGTTGTTTTGAAAGTGACTTAGTTCGGAATCACTCTTCCGTAAGAATAAGGAAAATCGGTAGTATAAGAAGCGACTTGGTACGGAATCGCTTTTCCGTTGTAAAAGAAAGGTATCGAGTTGTAAGAAAGCGACTTGGTACGGAATCGCTTTTCCGTTGTAAAAAGAAGGAGGTATCGTATTGAAAGGTATCCTCGCTATAGAGTCTTAGCTTCTCTATGATTGATCACTTAGTAGTAAATCAACCATTGATCAGTGTTAGATTGCTTTTAAGCGATTAAGAATATATTCGTAACTTCGTAAGGTCGTCAAAGTACTTGCAATTGCAAAACACTCGGTTG